TTAATCACAAACTCGTGTTAATTAATCGAGGGTAAACTCTCACGATCCCAAAGTATAGAAAAATGATTCAAATGATCATTTTCTACAGATTTGAAATAATGAAGGTTAACAACTTCGAAAACTAACGTTCATGAATCGAAAGACTTTATAGATCGAAAAATGAATAGAAATGAAAAGACAAAGTCAAATTAGAAATGAAAAGTGGAGACAAATCAAGAAATAAGGTCTAAACAAAATGATCAAAAAGAAAGTTTAAGAAAGACAGAATTAATACTAGCATCAAGATCAAAAACCATCGTTTGATTAAAAATTAAAACAATGAAAAGATTAAAATCTAAATTATAATTAAACTTTTAAAATCAATAAAACTAAAGTAATTGAGGTCCCAAATGTAAATCACAATTCAAAACATAGAACTCTCTTATCATTAAAATACAAGAACAATGTAAAGTAAAAAACAAATTAACATTAAATTTATAAAAAAAAATAACATAAAAAAAAAAATCTAATATAGGGTGCAGAATTTGAAAGGGATATGATGTGGAAAAGGGGATTCTATGGGCTCAAGGCCTGTCACCTCTTTTCATCAACAATCTGGTGAAAATCAAAACAAAAGGGTGGCAAAAATTTAAAAAAAAACAGTTATAATCATCAGATGGGCCTAAAAGCCCATCGTCACTTGCTCAACACAAAAATGTCCACAGATTGTTTATGCCCTCACGACATCATAGTTCACAACCACAATTGGAAAACAATAGAAACGAAAAAATGAAATGTTTTGTAGATTGATGTTGAAGTTGTACCGTTTATTTGGTTTGAAAAAATGGTGGCTGGCTTTGCATTGTGTAGCAGTGGCTAAAAGAAAATATAGTGATGGGTTTTGCTATGTGGCTGAGTGTGAATCATGGCTTCTTGAATGAGCTTTACTACACCTTTTTTAGTATTTTTTTTTTGTAACTAGTAGAAGACCCGTACGTCCGCACGGGACGCACGGAAAAGTTAATTCTTTAATATAAGAGCATTTTTAAATAGAAATAACAAAACCAAAATGATTATAATTTCACAGTATTAATTGTGAAAATATTCAACTATTTTAAAATATATTGATAGTGATTAACACAATTATAATATGTCCAACCTAGAATAAAAAAACTAATAATAAATCTTTGATTCTAATAATATTGAGATTACATAACCTACAAGTATGATAAATGAAATGAGAATTAGGGAAATGTTCTAATTAGAAAAGAGGAAACATTATTTTAACCTTGAAAAAATGACTTACATTTGCATTGTGACATTTGTATTATTTCTTCAAAAATGATAGTGTGTGAAAGCTTAACAAAGACATCTCAAACAACCAAGGAACAACCAAACACAAAAACGTATGAGCTTAATATTAGAAGGTTTCTCGTATACTCAAACACTGTCAATATTGAAAATGTTAACCTATAACATGTGCTACACAATGGTCTATATGTGATTAGTGATTTTTTACAGCACTCAAGAAAACAAAAGCAGAATATGATGTACCAAGCCTACCTTGCAATCTTTAATGTGAAATTCAAACAGAAAGATAACTTAAAAACTGAAATATGTGCTACAAATTGGAAAATTCTGATTAGAGTAATTATAGAGCATCCAAGAAGACACAATTCAGCAAAAGAGACTGCATCATTTCTACCTAGTATCTAGCTTAGTGGTCACATTAGCCGCACTTGGGATGATTCGCACAAATAAATATACCAATATATTAAATTAAGTTCAAAACTTCAACACCAAATGAGAGCAAATATTAATTTAACACTATTATTAATCATTGGTCAAGTGAAGAGAAAAGTCCTAGAAAAACAGTACACTAACATAATGAGTTTTTTACACAATTACTCATTATAAGCTACCATAGGATACAAGCTAACTTAAACACTTGGACTTACAAGTAAGGTCCAATCCAATATGCTAACAACCTAGCAATATTGACTAATGCATGTTAGAACAAACTTCGACTACAACACGCATTATTCCGACAGCAGCATGCAAACATACTTCGACTTCATGCTTAATTCCTGTCAAACCAGAAGCTACCCTTTCCTAAAAGCTATGATGTTAGACGGCAGAATCATAGAAACGACCATGCTTTATCTTGGTTTTGTAATCCTTGTCCTTGGTTTTGAAATGAATTATATTATATAAAATTAATATTATATTTTAATATTTGAACTATAGCAGTAACTGACTTCTTAGAGCAAAATATCCTAAATTGAGCATGTATATATTTTTTGTTTAACTTACTATAGCAGCAAATTAATATTATATTTTAAGTATATATCTCAAACTATAGCAGCGCCTATTTTAAGTATATTCCAAATCAACCACAATCCTACTTTTTAGAGCATATATTGAATTGAGCATGTGTAACGCATCATTTGTTTATAGCAGAACTTATAAAACAAATATTGGCAATAAGTGTTACCTCACTTAATGTGTTTTTATAGCAGAACTTATAAATTTGTTTATAGCAGCAAATTATCAGTTGTGAAGCCAATCGATTTTGATGTATACAAAATGCATAGAAAAATAATCCAGAAAAAATTATCATAGGTCTAAATGATTGCACAGAAAATACATAGCAAAATAATAAAGGACTGATATTAGAATTAACTGCTCTAAGAAGTAAGCAATTGATTCAAGATACATAGCAAAAATATGAGTTAAAGCTTAGGCCTAATTGTTTCATAGGTCTGCAAATTACAATAAGAGGAGTCGCATTATCCTTTGAGTTGAGATGTTCATAAAGTTTGGAAGCATAGTCGTCCCGGAGAGTTAAATCGATGATGTTACGATGTAGTCACTTAGTGTAATGTTTGCACAATCTTTTTTGTTGTTACCACCAATCTGTTTTTTTTATAACCTCGTGCAATATTCCAATGACATCTATCATGTTAGCATCAACATTGAAATAAAACAAAATGAGTAAAGGCAAAGTAAGAAAGAAAAATACAAAAACAGAGTGAACATCAAAAGTTACAATTACCATATAAGTGGTCAGGCTTGAATTTTAAGAAAATCGGTGATAGATTTGAAATCATATTGGTGTGGTGGTATATCCTGGTTCAAATGCTTACACATGGTGGTTGCAGTGGTGAACATAAGTTTTAGATTATTTTCACAAGCCTTGAAAGGCAAATCATTTTTCAATGGTTCACCATTATACAATGTACACGATTCATGTTCAGTCAAGACATCCACCCAATGTTTGTAGTCTCTTGGGCGTGTAATGACTTGGATTTGATGATCCTATATAGAATTGATGACTATGATTAGTTGATGGTTAAGATAAGAAATAGAATGAGAAACATTTGTTAGTAATTACGTGTTTATAACCTTTGCATCTTGAATGATCAGTTGTATGTGCAACTGGCCATTCCTCTCCTTCACAGTCCAAAAATCGATAATTCTAAAAGCGTTTACGAAAAAGTATGTGACTCATGAATGTACAACTATTTTCATCCCCTAAGATGAATGATTGAATAGTTATATTTTCTTAATAAACCTCTGATTTACTTTTTCAGATTCAATTCAGTTTTACTTTTTCAGATCATACAGAAAACCTCTGATTTTCTCACATTTTCTTTCATTTTCCTGGTGTACAAAACTTAAACAGAAGACCCACCAGAGAATTCCAATAAACATGTTACTCAATAAATACACAAATAATGAAGTATAGAGCTAAAACAGCCTAAAATGAAAGAAAGGACATATTCAGGTCTCTCAATCACAGAGATGGCACATAAATGTCAAGATATAGAGCCTGTAGGCTAATCATGAGCTAATAAAATTACTCATGCATATATGTCATGAAGTTTGCATGATAAAATTTCTACACGTATGATTACACCGACTAATAGTGAACAAACCTGATAGATTCTGAAACGTTTCGACACTCGTTCTCAAATCTTAGTATAAGATCAGGAATATGCATCATTCCTACAAAAAAAATTGCATTAAAATCAAAATCACAATATTCCTTTTTCTTGAGAAAGAAACAAAAATGCACTGCACAGAGGGTATCCACTATCCAGCAATGATTTCACGTCAACTAAAATGAGCAGCAAATATGTAGATGGGTTATTTCTTTTACCTGTGCATAGACAAATCAGAGGCTCAATAATGACAACAAAAACCAACGAAACCCTGATACAAGCAGGATCAAGATTCCCTGCAGTCGAAAAGGCACGCAGTCACACTATCATGCAGCAGGAACCGTTTGATTAGCATTAGACATTCTTGATTTAAGTTGATTATTTTTGAAATTATAAAATTCTGCTTTTCTGGTCTTCAGATCAAAATCAAACGCCTTGTAAAATCTTGATCAAAATCTAGCGCACATGTAAACCATTTGATCCGGATACAAAATTAGAAAATATTTGAAATTGAATGGCCTCTGCAATTCATAAGTCGTATAAACAATTTGATGGAACCAAGATGAGCAGATGCGTGCAGAGGTTGTAACAAAAACAATTACCAAACACAGGACACATAATACATCAATATGAGATTATCATCAATAAAACCATAAATGACAGGAATTGAAGGTATGGAAATGTGAATTGATGAAAATTAGCTATATCAACTTATAGTAGTATTCTGTATGAAGGTGCAGATTAGCACTGATTTCAATTTTCAAAGTTTATATGGTATAGTGCTATAAACTAATCATATCCTGAAAATTAAAAGTAAAGAACTCGTACTACGTAATTTTTTTTGTATTTTGGGAGAGAAGTTCTTAGTCTACCTGATCATAGGCCCTTTGCAAGAACGATGAGTAAATTGCACAAAAAGGCTTTCGGCCTTCACAAGCTAGACCTGTGGCAAATGTAACGGCATGTTGTTCCGCTATCCCAACATCAAAGCATCTTGTTGGGAATCGGAGATGGAAGAGATTCATGCCAGTTCCACCTCCCATCGCAGCATGGATTGCGATAATGTCTTTGTCAGCTTTAGCTTCTGCAATCAAAGCCCCCGCAAAATATGTTGTGTAAAGATTGCGTAGCAGCCTTGGCTTTGAATTGCTTTCCAGTTGGCGGATCAAACTTGGCAACTCCTACAAAATAAAACCAACTCACATATCTATGAGGAATATAGCAAGTCAAAGCATATAGGTCACGAAACAAATAGATTTTCATTTGAGATAATTGAATATGCTTCTCAAGGAAAAAAGATGGATAAAAATTGAGAGTATCACATTAAATATCTGAAACCAACGCGTGACCTATTTATTTCGTGAATTATGAACAGGAATAGATAAGGTCCATTACCATGGTACTTGTCATCCGCTTTCTCTGCGTATGGATATCCACGGCCTTTTTCGGTGACAACATGGATCAATACAGGACCAGTACTATTAGTACTTTTGACTTCTCTGAGAATGGCAACTAAATCATTAATGTTATGACCATCAACAGGGCCAATATAATAGAGTCCAAGATCTTCAAAAAGTGTTGATCCAGAACCACTGATCATACCACAAGCATACTCGTCAACTTTCGCAGCCAATTCATGCATAGGACCTCCAATTCATTTTGTTACTCCCTATCAAAATATTATCATTTTGTCAAGAAAAAGCTTCAAGTATACTTTAGTTGCCGCATTTCAGGTAACTCGTCGAATGATATTATTACTCACCTTGGCAACCTCTCTCAATTCTCTAAGAGGTTTGTTTGACTGTAGCCGACTAAGTGCACTACTCAAAGCTCCTACAGGTGTCGCCGATCCATCAAGAGTAGCACTTGGTAGCGAAACTTGTTTGTTGTCATTCAAGATAACAATCATGTCAGAATTAAGATATCCAGCATTGTCCATAGCTTTATAAGCTTGACCAGCTGTCATAGCACCATCACCAATAACAGCAACTACATCATTCTTTCTTCCCTTCAGATCTCTCCCAACAGCCATTCCTATTGGTTCAAAATGAATTGCCAAAATCAAATCCAAATTAAAATATCACATGGTTGAACTGAAAAGAAAATCTCATACCAATATTTGTGACTTCAAAATATCCACTCTTCCTATCATACTTGATCAAACCAGTTTTTTCTAATATAGCAGTTGCTCTATTAATCTGAAAAATATAAATAGATCTTTACACGATGATTTTATCCCCTTTTCATTAAATTCTATATTAACTATACAATATCAAGAACAGACACTATCAAAGAGGAATTTAGCGAACAGGAATAGATAAGGTCCATTACCATGGTACTTGTCATCCGCTTTCTCTGCGTATGGATATCCACGGCCTCTTTCGGTGACAACATGGATCAATACAGGACTAGTACTATTAGTACTTTTGACTTCTCTGAGAATGGCGACTAAATCATTAATGTTATGACCATCAACAGGGCCAATATAATAGAGTCCAAGCTCTTCAAAAAGTGTTGATCCAGAACCACTGATCATACCACGAGCATACTCGTCAACTTTCGCAGCCAATTCATGCATAGGACCTCCAATTCGTTTTGTTACTCCCTATCAAAATATTATCATTTTGTCAAGAAAAATCTTCAAGTATAAATATAAAAAATCTCTAAACTGTCTATATTGACATGAACACGGTAGAGGGAACTCACGCGGCATCTATGTTGTCCTGAATTATCAACCCATATTATACGAACAAATGAAACATCACTCTCTAAGTCATCAATCACATTTAGAGGTAAGATATTATGTGAACTAACAACATTGTTAGAAATATTAATCTTATAGAAATTGATTGCATTTCTAGCAAGGATATCTTTTGCAGCTTCAACAGCCTCAGAAACTGAGATATCGCCACCAATGCACGAATCACGCAGAACCGAGAAAACAACTCTGCGAGACTTCTTTGCACCTGTGAATACATAACTCGTTATGGTAAGCAACAAAATTAAACTGTGGCACTCATCTTTCAGACAAGAACCTCAAGCAATAATTCAACAATCACAAGAATGCACTCAAGTATAATCTTCATTTTCGGTTAAGTTAACCAACCTAAGTAGTAGGTTTCAGGAAATGTATAGCCATCGGTACAAAACATCATCTGCAATACAAAGTTCGTTTTCGTGAGACATGTATGTACATATATTCTTTTGGCTATTATGTAAGATACATTTATATGAAAATCGTGAATAATTCTTATAATTGCTTATAATGTTACCTTATTTATTGGAGTCAGATCTACAACCTATTTCAGTGATGAAATCATGCCATGTACACTAAGCTTTGGAATTTTCAACCCAAAATCAAGATAAACCTGAATGAGAAGATTGTTACTTGCGAGTGAACATGTAATACATATTCGAAACTACTAACACAACTAACTAAGTTATAAAATGTTTGCCTGGGAGTACACAGATGCTAGATATGACGCTTCCCTTGAGAATGGATAAGATGCATGTAAAAGAACAATCCGAGGTTTTGAATATCTCTTGTCCTTGAAAATTGAATGGAGATGAAGAGGATTCGACAGTCGCATATCCAAATCATTATCCCCGAACCTAATTACAGAAAGGAAAGTTTAGTATTTCGGTAAAAGTAAAAGTACATTTACAGGCAAGCCGAAACTATGTAATAACATGCGTATCAGACAATTGAAAACCATTCATTACCCCTTGTGTATCTGCATTGGCAAGTCATAGGATTGAGTTCCAAACTTTGCAAGAAGATGTAGTCAATAAGATTTTTGTTAGCAATACGGATAGGCTTCCCGGCTGAAAATGTAGAATGATTAGTATATAAATACAACAAAACACAACTATTTAAAACCAATTTTCATATTCAACTCACCAAGTAACACCTGCGTGAGACCCTCCTCGGCATCCTATTTAGTCACATTTGTATTGATTTCTAGGCCACTGCGGTATGCAGCTATGCTTTTCAATCCAAAGATCTCACCAGCCACCGTTAAATGATGCTAAGGAATACTGTGATTTATTGTTAATCATCATTGCTGCTAAATAACTAAACACGACAAATTACAAATCACAACTAAGATAAATTCTTTCAACGAATTACAAATCACAACTAAGCCAAATTCAATACCATATTCGAGGGTATTATCACACCTTAGGTCGACGTCCTCCAGTCAAAATTGTTGCACCCTCACTCTTAGCCATTAAGATCAAATTCAATACTTTTTTATACTGAATCATACAAGAAAAATTGTGACCCCTCTACAAATAACTAATGTGTGATTTTAACATCAAGTGGTAAGTTAAGTAATATCTCATATATGTAGAATTGATAAACAGAAAACATACATGTGCTTCACTAACTATAGGGTTGCAGAGAAAATAGAGAGAAGAGAGAAAATGGTGAAATGAAGCATAAGGGAGACGAGGGAGAAGGGGGGAGTCAGTTTAGGGTTTTTTAGGGTTAAAATAAAGTGATGCACTTACAGAGAGATGTATTAGGATTCAAGCTGGAGAATAAAGTGGTTTCATAATAGAAGGAAGAACTGATTGAAACGGGAGAGAGGGAGCAATGACGAGAATGAAAGAGGGAGGGTAGGAGAAAGAGAGAGAAGGTGAGAGAAAGAGGGAGACGATAAAAGAGAGAGAAAGAAAATTGAAAAGAGGGAGAAAGTGAGGGAAAGTGGGAAGACAAAGTTTTCAAAAAAACTGATGCCACTTGGCAAAATTGGACCATGCTATTGGTCAATGGTTGTGTATTTTGTAAATTACCAAAAAAGGCATAGTGTAGTCTTAAGTAAAAATGAAGTGAAGGGTGAATTAGTAAAAATGGTGGCATTTGATTGTAATGGGTAGAAAGTTGATTGGAATGATGGGCCTTATGAATCTTTCTTGTTGTAAAATTTTTGTAAATGGACTCGAACCAAAATATAATTTGAGCTTTATTGTAGAACTCCCTTTTTTTTAAGGAATGGTGGGCTTTAAAAAATGAAATGGTCTTAGAAATTAACATGAAATTGAAATGGATTCTTGGAAAGTAATATAGATTATTGGATTAAATTTGGATAAAAATGGAGAATGAATATTTATGGTTATGGATGTGGATGTGAAATGGATAGAAAAATGGTAATCAAAATGGATAATTGTTTTAGGAACACGGACAGGCCCTTCCGCTGACTTTTCACACAACACCTCTACCACTTGTTTTTTCAAATGAATCTCTGAATCCATGATTAGAACCACTTTGAACTTGTCTGAAACAATCCACAGCTTGCACAATTTAAACCAAGGCCACTTGGGTCACAAATGAACCATGAACCAAATTCTCAATGCCTTGAAATCATAAGAACATGACTTGAAACATGAATTGTATTGCAACTGTTCCAAAAAAACCTAATTACAAATGAACTAATTTCATATGATTTGGCACAGCCTGATAACTTGATCCATACACAAAGGACTTGCCAAGAAACCAAAATTTCCTGACCAAGAAAATTAGGTCAATACCACTCAACTTCACTCAACATTTGCTTGAGTCACTTTAAATTCGATCTTGCAAACCCTAAACTTGAACAACAAGCAGAAGCAACATATTTTTTTTTAATTTTTTGAATAACAGTTTGTGGGTGAAAGTACAGATGAAAGCTATACACAGGTGGGACAAATTTGGGGTATGACATGAGTGTTGTTCGTCTCTTTATTATGAAGAATCTTTTGCCTACTCGGAAGACCTGTATCATTTTGTGCACTATAAGAACGAGAAAAGGAGAGGAAAGATGGTTTCCTGTTGTTCACCACTCCTTCATAATTGGTTTATGGATCATCTTCCTCGTTTCGGATTTTTTGTTGATTTTAGGAATTCTTTCGAGTCGTCTAAAAGATTAATGGGTCTAACTATGAAGGATATTGTCTAGTTCAATCGTGATTTGCTTGGAAAGGTGATTTCCAAATGTGCCTCTGATAAGGAGAAAATGGGATATTCATTATAACCTTTCTCTCGATGTTATACAATTTGGATACGCCTTAAGGGAGCTACTAAAAGATAGGGATGTTCAAGAGTCTTTATTCTTCACCGGGGCAGCTGACCTAGGGCTACTGATGAGAGTTATGGATGCATGGGGTAAGATCCATAAGAACGGAAAGTCTTCATTGGGCAAGAGTGATTTCAGATCCTATGCCCTCTACGTAGAGTGGATTCAGAAGAGGTTCAAAGAAGTGTTTTTTTGGTTCTCCGTTGAAGCGCCTTTGAATTCTTTGATGACCGAACAACCTACTACAGCGGAGATTGAGAGGTATAACAAGCTTTGGGCCTAAAAAGAAGAACTTCGCAGAGAGAATGAAAATTTGAAAATGCAGGTCTCTCGCTTGGGGTATGCTCATAGAGAAGCAGTTTATGTATCCAAGGTGAAGACAAAACTTCAAGTCAAGAGAGAAAGAACTAGAAGATGAAATCAAGAGCATAGAGAGGATAGGCCAAAACCTGAAGAGTGCCAACAATATCCTGCAACAGAGAAACAAAAATATGGATAAAGCTTACGTTGACATCTCAAAGTTCAACAGTCAATGAACGTCACA